GAAGGAAGACCCTACTGTCTCGAATACGCAAAGGAAGCGGTAATTTAAGTGAAAACATGTGAATTCTCGATCGCACGATACTTGGTTAAGGTGTTGGACTCATTTATTCGTCGATTCGATCTGTTGCAGCACAAGAATCAAGTGAGAGCGTACCTTGCCGAAGCAAGATGGTTTGCTCAAGGGAAAGTGCCAACAGTAGAGGAATACAGGAGGGTTGGTGTTTACTCTTGTGCTTACCCTTCTTTAGCATGCTCAGCTCTCTGCGGTATGGGCGAAAAGGCACCAAAGGAGGCGTTCGATTGGTTGTTCTCGGAACCGAAGATTCTCGTCGCCATCTCTGATCACTGTCGTATTATGGATGACATAGTATCTCACGAGGTATATTGTATATGAAATTTTTTTAGTTTCTATAAAAATAAATGCACATCGACTAGTGATTATTAATCTCTTTTTTTTTTTTTTACAGTTCGAACAGAAAAGAGGTCACGTCGCTTCGGTGGTCGAGTGCTACATGAAGCAATACGAGGTGCCAAGAGACGAAGCTGTAGCTGCATTGAACAAAATTGTGGAGCATGACTGGAAAGAGATCAACAAGGAGACTTTCAACCAGCCTGGTTTCATCTCGAACGAGGTTATGTCGATGCTCGTGGGGCTCGCGAAGGTGATGGAAGTTCTGTACAAGGATTTCGATAGCTATACCTTCTCCGAGACCGTCACTAAGGATATGATGACTGCTCTTCTCGTCACTCCTATGGTTTTGGAGGCTTGATATTTGCTCAGGAGGAACAGTTGATGGCTACTCGCAGTTGCTTGCTTTCTAAATTGATCGTTGATCTATTTTGTTTTTCCTCTGTTTTGTTGTACTTTCCTCTGCATTCAATGTGTGTTGTCCTTATATGGATGGTCTCTGTTTCTTCCTATGTTTGTTGTCCTTCCTTCCTTTCTTGTACTCGGCCGCCGTTCAGTCTTTGTGATCGGTGGTTGACTTATATATTTTGTTTCTGTGTCTTCTCCGGCTGGTTTTGTTTTTAATAAAACTCCATCACCTTTATAGAAAAGAATATGTGTTTGTTCTCATTCTTAGTCTCCATCTGTAGCATTACAAGTACAACTCTGTTTATTTGGGTGGGTGTGAAGAATTCGATTAACACGGAAAATCGAAGAACACATGATATAAAATTTTATGTTGTAACTTCGTTTGGAATGAATGAAACTAATTTAGAGTGAGCTCGAAAGAGTTCATGACTGACGATTTTATTATTCAACTTTGATATTTGCTTGCTTGCGACAAACACCATAACTAAGCCTTATACAAAGAACGACATCGGTGAAAACATAATGACACATCCTGAGTATCCATATCCACCTAGGACAAGACACATAAAAATTCAAAAGTAACTAGGACAAGGGCTACTCAAAATACACATTTACTTATCAACCAAGTAACCTAAAATAGTCGCTAACACTTCCCTCAAACAAAGACAAGAATATTAAACAAGTCAAATTTGGAATGAAGATGGAGAAGTGATCCTCACTAGGAAGTAGGAAATGAAGTGCAGAGTAGAACTCAAACTGGGTGGATTAGGAAATGAAAGTGCAAAAGGAAGCCACAAAATGTCAAGGACCAACCCAAACTGACCAGGCCTGAAGCCCATCTCACAAGACTCGACAAAAGCCCACACTGCCAATCCTAGCTAGCACTACTACCAAACGGCATCAAGTCTGCTCTTTCGTAAGGGCTGGGAATCGGTGCGGTTGCGGTTAACCGCACCAAAATTTGCGCTTAACCACAACCGAAATGTACCCATTTACGTTAACCGCGACCGCACCGCAAACGATTTGCGGTTAACCACTAACCATAAAGTGTGGTTATCAGTTAGCTGCGGTTAACGGTGTTACTAACCATTCTTATGATTTAAGGACATTTTGGTCTATGGTTGTGCCACTATGTCACGGTTAACCGCACTAACCGCGGTTAATCGTAGATAACCGCGTTAGTAATCGGTTAAAATGCGGTTACTTGTTGCTCGCTTGCGGTTGCGGTTAACCCGCAAACCGCAAAACATGCAATATAACCAACCGCGACCGCAAAATACCCTATTTTTTCGGTTTGCGATTAACCACTAACCTCGCGGTTTCGGTGCGGTTAGCGGTTTAACCGCAAAACAGCAACCGCATTCCCACCCCATTAGTGTTTATTTTCAAGCATATTCGGCACAGGAATAAGGATTTTATATAAAGAATCCTTAGGAACTATCGATTCGAGAGACAGAGGGGTGAAGTCCTCGAGACGAGAGGACTGGGTTTTGGTGGCACTGTATTTTTTGTATTATACTAAACCAGTTTTAAAGAAGTTATCAACGTTTAAATTGCATGGTTTGTCAAGCATCTTAATCAAGGGGGCAGGCCGTCTATGGGACCCTAAAGCCGGTGGAATCCAAGGAAATTGTTTGATGATCCATTAGAACTTCACAAAGTTGTGTTTTTTCTTTTTTTTTTTTTTTGTGTGTGAATAGTTTTGTTTCAAAATTAGTGCCATATGATCACAATGTTGGTTTGGTCGAGAGGTCCTGTCGTTGGATTCTGAGTCTAGAGGTCTATAATACGTAACTTTCTTTCTCTTTCCCTTTTATGTTGAGACGCCCATAAAAAATAATGAAAAAAGTAGTGTCGTAATTACAAGAAAATTGGAAGGATGTAAGAATTGATAAGGAAGATATCGATTTGGTCTAATGCCACATTCATCTAAAAGTTGTAATTGTTGAATTGTGCGATTCAAACATATTACCCTCTTTTTCAATCAACATAGTAAACGAATTAAACCAAAACAAAAAAAATGAGATGTCCTATTTTTTTCAACAAGAGAAGTTTAAAATCGATGTCGAATGGATGTTTTGAATGTAAGTTGGGACGGACGACAAATCAGACCTAAAACCTCATTCGGATGAATTCAATACTTTGACCACTTGGCATACATAGCAAACTACTTGATAGTTGATACAAGAACACCAGTACAATAGAAATAACTTTTGTCTCCCTAAAGATATACCCCCAACAAAGAAATTTTACAAGCTCCCACTAAATCATGATACAAAATTCAATACGGTACGCGCAAAACAACGAAAGAATTTTACGTATCATTTTTCTAAGATCGTCCTAACGCTAATCCTGAATTTAGAGTCGATGTTACCGAAAGACAATATCAAGAAACTGAACCGATCACTACGAAAAAAAGAAAAATTATATATAGACGTTCCTATGAAGAGGGGGGAAATATTAAATGGGAGAAAAACGGTTAGAGAAAGAAACTAAATTACACCTCTCATTTTGTGGCGGTTAGTGGAATGAATGAATGAAACCAATCGCCACATGCCCGTACCGGATCTTTTCTCCTCCAACACACATTCCTTCCTTCCTTCGCCGCGCTACAGAACCCCAAAAAAAATCCCGACCAAAAAAAAAAATCCAGTGATTATCTCTTTCCTATATTTTCCCAACTCTGGAACCAAGTACTCTCCATAGTCCATAGATCCCCCGCCGACGGGCAGAAAAAATGGGGGAAGGAATCGTTTGATCGGAAAATTATATGAACTCTGAAATCCAATTGGCGGGAGTTTCTTTTTTTCCCTCTCTTTTCCCCCTGCCCGTTTCCCTCTTCGATTGTTATCCTTTACTATTTCCCTTGGCTTTTCATATCCTGCGGCCGCTTCTGGGTTTCTGCATTCTGGGTAAACCTTCGAATCTCAATTCGCTTCACCGTTTATCGTTTTAACTATTCTTTCGACCAATCCGTGTTCGCCATTGCTGTAATGCCAACGGGCTTGTGATCCCCTTTTCAATGATGGTCGAATAAATGCCTACTTTATGGGTGTATGGCGTTCCTTTTTGGCTTTGTTGTCGCTAACGATTGAAAGGGTTTTCTGCAGAATTGAATCGAATGGGGTGGGGGTTTATCTGGGTTCTCACCGGAAATGTTCCTTGTGCGAAGAACTTTGAGAAAGATTGCTTTTTTATTTAGTAAAACACAGCATTCAGCTGTTTAACATGTTTGGTTCAGCTTGGATTCTCTGTTTAATCTGAGTTTTGAAAAAAAATCGGATTTTATGTTTGATTTTTATGAAAATTTTGTGGGTTCTTCCCGTATAAATGGTTTGGAGATTTTGTTAGGGTTTTAGCATGTTCAAGAATCTTAGATTTTGCCCTTCCGTTTATAGTTTGTGTGGAGTGGAGACCATGGCAGGAAGATAGAATGTTGTTTGGTCTTATATATTTGCTAGGTGGTCTTCTGATGCAATTTTCAGGTGCCTTCCGTATGAAGGGATTAGGTAGGGTCTGGGAATATTATATGGTTCTGGGGCTGTCAATTTCCCTGGTTCTTTTGTTCTTGGTCAACTAAGTACTAGTTTATACCGAATTAAAAATGCCCTTCGATTTGTTTTTGAGCATTCATTCTCTGTTAAATAGTGATGAATACAACGAAGTGGCGGATTTCGACCTCTCTCTCTTGCTTCTGCTCGATCTAAAATCCATGGTTTCTGGTTCTTGTTTTATTCCAGAAATGGAGGGTTTTCTGTTGTTTCCCAAATAGGCTTTGGCAGCTTCCTGGCATTCATCAGATATTCAGTCCTTTAACTTCTTAATAATAGATTTAAGCTTTGCTTCTTGCTAATCGTGGATTAAGGACTATGTTTATGAAACTGATATGCTGCACCTTGGCTTCCTCTTGCTAATCTTCACAGCTTTGTACAATTTCCTTTGTGCCCTCTGCTGTTCTTTTCTGCAGTTAAGGCAGAATTTAGTCCATCATTTTCATTGACGCCGAACCCTCAAGTGGTCCAAAAATCTTCTTGTATGTCGCCTTCTTGATGCTTACGTTGGTCTTTAACTGGCTTTGTGTCTTCTACAGGTGTGGAAAACATTTGGTGGGTGGGGGCACTATTTTCATGTCAGCCCGATTGTGGGACTTAACATGTTATTGACTCCACCTTCGCCTTCAAACCATGGCACCTCGACCCTCCACTCGGACAACCACAAGAAGATTATTGCCGCGGAAGCTCGTGTTCATGATCTTCTTGATACTCCTGCCAATCTCTGTGATCACGATCATCACTCATTTCCAGACGATAACCTACCTATTCCGGCCGCTCTGGGACAAGCCGCCTCCACCCTTCCAAAGAATCCCTCACTACTACGCTGAGAATGTCCCCATGGACCACCTCTGCACCCTCCATGGTTGGACCATTCGGTCTACACCGCGCAGGGTCTTCGACGGCGTCATCTTCAACAACGAGCTCGACCTCCTCGAGATCCGATACCGCGAGCTCCAATCTCTCGTCACCAAATTCGTCATCCTCGAGTCGAACACCACATTCACAGGCCGACCTAAGCCGCTCTTCTTCTTGTCGAACCGGGACAGGTTCGAGTTTGCTGGGGATAAGATCGTCCACGGCGTGTTCTCTGGTCGCACTGCTGAACCCGGTTCGCAGGAGGACCCGTTTGTGCTCGAGTCAGAGCAGCGGGCCTACATGAATGGGTTGCTACGGAGTGCAGGGGTGGTGAATGGAGATTTGGTGATAATGTCGGATACCGACGAGATCCCCAGCCCTCATACTGTGAAATTGCTGCAATGGTGCGATGGTATGCCTCCTATTCTACATCTCGAGTTGAGAAATTATCTATACTCGTTCGAGTTCCCTGTGGATTATAGTCATTGGAGGTCAAGTGTCCAGATTTACGGGCCATGGACGAGGTACAGGCACTCGAGGCAATCGGATGTCATTCTCTCGGATGCTGGATGGCACTGCAGCTTCTGTTTCAGGAGGCTGGAGGAGTTTGTGTTCAAGATGACGGCTTACAGCCATGCTGACCGGGTTAGGAAACCAGATTTTCTGAACCATGACAGGATTCAGAAGCTGATATGTAAAGGGGATGACTTGTTTGATATGCTGCCAGAAGAGTATACATTCAAGGAGCTGATTAAGAAGATGGGTTCGATTCCGCATTCTGCTTCTGGGGTTCATCTTCCTGGGTTTTTGATAGAGAATGCTGAGAGGTTCAGGTTTCTTCTTCCCGGCGGGTGTTTGAGATCGCCAGAGTGAAGATGGTCTTTCTTCTTTGCTTGTTTTTTTTTTTTTTTTTGGTTTTCGCCTCGGGCAGCAATTTGCCGGAAGGATGACTAGTGTAAAGAGTTGGCTTGTGTTGCAAGTTATCAGTGTGATGGTCGAAGGTGGTCAGTCTCATCTCAGTCAGCAGCAGCAGCACTGTGGTAGGGTTTCTTTGTTTTAGGGTTATGTATGTGTAGCCCTTTTGATTCTCTTTTGTTGTTTTCTTATCAAGTTTGTTACATTGCTTGTTTATGAGCAAAGTAAGTATGAATCTGGTGAGAAATGTAACTCAAATTGGGAGATCAGTTGCAGCTTCTGGATCTAGCCCAACTTGGCCAAAGAGCCCAAGCCCATTCAACATTGGAATGGGCCCATTGAGGCCATTCAAGCTTTTATATGAAGAGCAGTTGCTAGTTGCTCCTTCCCTTTCACCTTTCTTGGCTTCTTTATCAGTTTTCTACAGAGGGCCATGTGCTCTCAAAGCTGCTGAGAAGATGAAGCTTCCCTAGAAAGGCACCAAAATTCCACTCCCTCCCTTTGTTCTTTTTCCAACCCTTTTTTTCCATTGTTTCCTTTCCCAGTGAATTGAGTAGCTTGGTGGGATGTAAATGGTATGGACTTTTAGAAAAGTTGGAAGTGATCATAGTTTGGAGTTGTTTGGGCATAAACAGGTCGAGTATGATAGCCCGTTACGTTAAAGGGTAGTTTTGGCAAGTACATATATATATATATATATATATATATATATATATATATATATATATATGGTGGCGTATTCGGTGCACCCACTTTTTTGAGTGTACTCAGTGCACCCATCTCATAATTATCATTCTGAGCGTGCGATTCATGTCAAAACGGTATCAATTGTTGCTTATGATATTATGAACAAGAAGCACATGAATTTGAAGAAAAAACATTCAAAATTTACTTTAATTCAAAGGATTTAGGATTAGGGATTTAGGGTTAGGGTTTAGGTTTACAATTTGGGATTTTGGGGTTGGATTCAAAATTGAAGGTTAAGGGTTTAGTGTAATAGATTGATTTGTTATGATTTTATGTCATATCATCATATTAGATTGAGAGTGCTAATTAAAGTTCAAAATTTGATGTATTATGGACACTTTTAGAGTGGGTGCACTGAGTGCACCCAAAAAAGTGAGTGCGCCGAAGTAGCCACCTATATATATATATATATATATAAAGGTGTTTGAAAAATTCATGTACTCCCAAGGTGTAGTTATGAGAATTTATTTGGTTTGTATGAACTTCGTGGGGCTCACGTGAACTGGCATGAAATTGGCATGAACACCCAACTAACGCGAATAAGAACTTGGTTTATTGGTATTACCATTAATCTTGAAATTAGAGGTCAAGGTTCGAATTACTTAAGGAACACCTAACTATAACATGATTAACATGTGATCATCTCTAAATAATTACTGACTTACAAATGTGGATTTAACTCAACTAATTATTGACTTACAAAAACTAAAGTAATTAGCAACTAAGCTAATTATTTAATTACTTAAAAAGGAAAATAGAAAATGAAGGAACCCATGAACTAGCTAGGATGTCAGAAGAGCAAGTAGGGATGGCAACAAAATCCGAACCCATGGGTACCCACCCGATCCAACTCGGTCAATGCGAGTAAAATCCGTGTTGACAGATTTTGGGCCGGGTTCGGGTTTAAACCCGCTACACTATTGACCGGGTTGGGTTGGGTTTGGGTTTAGGTAAACCCGCCCACACCCATATAATTAATTTTCCGGGTTATTTAATATTCTAAGCAATATATCTTCTTTAAACAACTAATCTTCTTTATGTTTGTGGAGACATGTCTAATTTATTCTTAGTAATTGTGTACAATGAAGTTGATATTATAGAGTGGAGAGTGAAGAAGCTTAGTTGACAAGGAGGAAGGAGCTTTCAATTAATCATGTTGTTTGTAGATGTTTATTTTTAATTTTGAACAATTTGTATTGATAATTTACGGTTTGCTTGTATGCTCTAGATTAGTGTTTTTTTTGTATTGATAATTTTTATGAGAAAATTGACGGTAGATTCTTATTTTGAAAGAAATTTGTTATTGCAAATTTTTTATCACAAAAATTCACGAGTACCCATAAACCCGCGGATACCCAGCGGGTTGAGTTGGGTTTGAGTTTTTCAAACCCAACGAGTTTTACCCCAGATTTTTTTGACGGATAAACCCATGAGTTTGGGTTTTTGACAAAACTCGATCCCTGGCCATCCCAAAGCAAGGACCTGTTTCTCGGTTAGGACAATGCCTTTTCCCAAGTGCCCTAAATTCGAAAATGTACGAATGCTTTTTCATAGTCACCAATACCCTAGTTTGGAATTCTGGGCCCCGTTGTCTTTTCCCCTTATCTTCTACTTTTGGGGGCCCGGTCCAATTATTAATATTTCATAATGATAATACGAATTAATAATGGCACGTATTATCCTTATTAATCAAGTTTAGGATGAGAAAAGCAGCAGGTGGAGTTAAACTAATAAACAATTAATTGGTGGGGTCGGCTCTTGTGTCAGGTGTCTTGCCGGACCTACCGTCCAATGCGGATCTAGTCCAGTAACTGATTGGTTATTGATCATCAATAACCTTTCTGCCAAATTTTATTTAATGGGTATGTATTTTTCTTATTAAGTTGGAAACTTGGAATTCAAATTTTTTAGCATAAAAAAATATATTAACAGTGTTCTTCAAAATAATATTGCCATTTATACATTTTGGAACAAATATACTATAGTCTATATTATGATGGTAATGTTGAGTAGTACATACCATTATATAATGGTGGTATGAAAGTAATATCATGGTCGTATGTAAGTATATCGTGGTGTAGAATGGTTGTATACATTATAATAAAAATATACTAATATTCATTAACCACTTTTCACCATCGTATACCACCAGTTACCACCTTATACCATGGTGGTATATTTGATCTTGAAATTTTTTTCTCCAAAGAGTTATAGTTCACAATAAATCACGATAAACTCATTTCTTCTGTTTAAACATTTTCAAAATTTGAGTTAAAATGAAAGTGGGAACATGGTGGTAACGAGTGGTAATAGATGGTATGCTTTATCAAAATATATAAAAATATGAATGTCATTTTGCAGATCGTAATGAACTCATTGCATCTAAATATTTTGTTATTTGAGTTAAAAAAAATACAAGCAAATTAAAAACAGTATGGTAAATGAAAAAATTAATCTCACTCTTAAGAAAATTAATAAATCGTATTATGATGTTATATTGGGCTACAAAAAAAAAAGACTATAAAAACAGAACTCCTAAATTGAAACTTGAAAGTGACATATAGATATATTTTTTCTAACTTTCTGAAAGCAAAATTCCCCTTATTATTTTCTCTTTTCCGTTGGCTTTACCTTGTAACTCTGTTCATAAAGGGCAGAAAAGGGGGGAAAGGAAAGTTAACGAGGGAAAGTTGGAATATCGATACACTTTCCCCCGTTTCCGAAATTTCGCACAGTGTCAAAGGGGAGGGAAAATGGAGGACTGGTCACTGTTCAACTCAACCCTCCAAATTGGAGAGAAAAGGAGCGAAACCATTTTGGACATAGTTTAATTGATTCTTTATTGGGCTCTCCTCTGTCCTCTTTCCTCTCCATCTCGTCTTCTTTATCCCGCCACAAGGAAGAACAACTGAACCAAGAAAAAGAAAACAGAGCACTTTTGCTTGATCTTTGCCATTCTGTCCTTCCATCGGCCAAAAAATCAATCTCCCAAAATAGATTGATGCGCTAACCTTCATCTTCTTTGATCTACTTCCCAATGCTCCACCTAACCAGGACCATAAAACACGAACAAAAGCTCAATTAAAAACAACAAAAAGTCAAAAACACACCCAAAAAGAAAATGAATGTCACGATCTGACCTGGATTGAGACTCTTCCGATTTCTATCATGTAGGCGACGAGGACAGCGGCGGGCCTTCTCCTGTCTTCTTCCCGTCCGAAACCTCACCTAATACAGAGCTTCCCTCTGTTTTTCAGAAAATAATACGTGTAGAGGAGAGGGACACACGATCTAGGAGAAGAGGGGAAACTTGATTTCAGATTTCTTTTTCCTGGAGATGTTAATTGAAAAAGAAGAATGATGAGAAGAGGGTGGGTTTAGATCGATTTTTTAGGGGACAAAGAAGATGTGAGCATTTTGAAGAGAGGTAAAAGACGAGAGAAGGGAGAGAGAAGAGTAGTGGGTTTGGGTTTTTATTTTCTTTCCTTATGGTTAAATGGTTTTGATTAATTAAAATATTAGATTAATACTTAAAGTAGGGTTTTTATTAATTTGGTGTTTAGTGATTTGAGTGTAACTTAGGTTGACTAATTTTTAATTGATTCAAATGGGTAAATTTCAAATGATCTATTTTCATACGTCTTAAAAATGTATCTTACCGACAATTCGACTGGAAAAATCTCCTATTGTAGTCTAAACCAATAGGTGGTTTAAATAATATAAAACAAATAAGCTTTGGTTACGATTTCGGCACAAAAATATCCTACCAAACAAGATAGATGATTTACCTCATACGTAACATTGTTTTGCACGATACATAACACTGTTGTATGATATATAAAAACTTGTTACGCTCCTCTTACAATTTATGTATCTGTAATTTGTTGTATGTTTATATATTTAGTTGCTATGTTATTACTCAATAAAATAGTTAACAAAATTTTAGTGTAAACAAATTTGATCCACATTACATAATTAATGTAAATAGTATAAATACATAATTAAATTATTTAACTATTCTATCATCAATAAAATATAATACATATCACAATTCCCAATCTACTTTTTCCCTCCTACTTTCCCTTCCACTTTCCTCCATTAAACAACATTTTCTTTCCAATTCCCTCTAATTTCCCTCCCTTCCAAACTTAACCTCCCCTCCAAATTTTCCTACCCTCCCCTCCTTTTCCTCCCTTCCTTCATGAACATAG